TATTTAAAAATGTTTCTGAATTTTCGATAAGACTTCACTCATTTCTTCAATTAATATTGTGTTACGACCAATATATGGATCAATAGGCTTTTTTTTATTTGACATTGAAAGTTTTTTAAGGTACAAATAACTGAGCTCTTGACTCGGAAAACATTTGAAAAGTGATCAAGTGTCTATAACCAAATCTTTAAAGTCTCTGAAAATATTGAAAATATGGTCTATCAGATCTCCTTCGATAATTAATGAAATTTGTTTTAATTCATTAATATTATGAAGAAAGACCATGTGAGCGAAAAGAAGAGCCGATTGTACCAATCTGCTACCCACTGAAATTTTACCAATCAATCTGATGTTTCAGATTGATTAGTCTCTTTAGACATCAGTAAAATAAAAATGCATGATGGATTTTACATCTAGGAGTTCTCAATCAATCCAGATACCTCAATACTTTTCTAAATAGAGGTTCAACCATGTGTCAGAAAGGTAGTTGTTTTCACTGATTATAGTACTTGTGTAATGCTGATGGCTGGTTATTCCCAACTAAAACCTGAATAATAAAGTTTGTCGATCGAATTTCATCATGTTTTTGTAGCTAGGTATGAGTTAAAACAAGGGAACAAATATCATGATATATACTTTCATCAAAATATTTCCAGAACACTTTAGAATTTTTATTTCTGACAAGATATAAATTTCAAAGAATGATGTGTCGCTAGCATTGTAATATTAGCAAAATCGGTAAAAATCATGATATTGTTCTGACATAAAGTTAAAGCTATACGTCAAGAAGAATTGAGATAATAGAGCTGACTAAGCACTCTTAGATGTATAAATTAAGAAAGACTTTTTTCTGAAATTCATATGAACTTTAAGAAAAAACTCTTTAATGTCTCAATCATTGTCGTGGAAATTATATCTTTTGCAGTTTTCCGTTATATTTGGGATGATCAACCATAATTCGACTTCTACCATCGATTTTGTGCAGTTAAATCGGAAAAGCTAAGTCAGTAGCATGGGTATGAGATTTGGAAAAAAAAGAATTTCCATATAGCAACAATATGTAAATATTTAATTGAAATAATAACAATAAAATACAATGATAAGATTTTTTCAGTTAAATGAATAATTGTTCCGTTCAAATCAATCGATAAACACTAGCTATAAAAGGATTTGATCCATTGAGTTCTTCAGTTACATTAAATGAAAAGAATGTACATAGATTCTAAAACTTTACAAACTTCAGTTAATTTGTAGTAACTTCTCGAAATAAAATTTCTATATCTGATAATGCAGTACAAAGTATCGTGATAACACGTGAAGTTTCTAAGAAAAAAAGGAGTTTTTCATCAATATAAAAAGAAAGCAAAAGCAATTTGTTTATTTCTTTCAAAGGATTATACATGTATAAACTACTAGAAGGTACTATAGGCTCAACATCAATTGAAAAAGAAACAACATGTCTACGTATTTACTCACAAAAAAAGAAATTGTTTAAATTCGAATAACTGAGGAGGGGTGGATATAATAGTGAATGACAAGAAGACCGAAACCCACACTTACACCATCAAGCAGAGTAGTAACATGTATCGTGACTGCTTTCAGCTATTATATTCATTGACATCCTTAAGATGTATTCTATGAATCAAATATGTAAATTGTTGTTTCGAAAAGCGAACGAGAAGTAGGAAATGATTGAGATGATATTTATTTGTCTATTGTTACGTCAGCAAAATGTTGAACTTCATTTGGAATCAGAATGATTAGAATTTGTTTATTTCTACTTCGAAGAATATGAAGAAAGCGAACAAAAAATTGGATATCGATCAAATTTTGATGTTGATACCGTTTCTTACTTTTGAATCATTGAATTTCATTTGATTTATGTGATATATCTTTTTCCTGAGAAAAATATCTAATTTTATGATAAAAACTTCAATTGTATTACTTATTTTAAATGTAGAAATACATTCTTCTTCAAGATCATCTGATTTATTGAGTACGTGTTTTTGATCAAACTTGTCTGAAAAATTGATTATTCTCTTCATCTTTTAGTTGAAATTCATTTGATAACAATATTTATCACTCATCATCAAATTGAACACATATATCCTATCGATTTGAAGCAGATTCTTTTTTCAAGTTCTTCGAGTTGTTGAATTTCTTCACGAGTTCGTTGTTCTCCTTCAAGAAAACTTGTATTCATACTCGAATTACTCATTGGAGATGTCGTCATGTTATAATCAAGAAAAAAAGTTTGAATCTAGTAAAATCATTATAACATCGATCTTCTTCGTCATCGTCGATTGTTTGTCACACCATTGAAAATGATTGATTCGCAACAAAAAAGAACTACTTGAAGAGTACTACTACGAATAGCTACTATGGTTTCTTTTTGTTCAATCAATTTGTGGACATTTCTGAATAGTTTTTTCTTTTTGTTGTGTTCCATCTGATACATGGCCTAGGGGAGTTCTTAAGTTACATCTATTGACTATTTTTCTTATCAATGATGATGATTTTCAGAAAATATTAATATTTCTTCATTAGTATTCTTTTCGTATTTGTGTACCGCCCTGCAAAATGACAACAAAGAAATTAGATAACAATCATAAAAAAAACTTTTATATTAATCTTTAACAAAAAATGGAATAATTAAAGAAATGTTCTTGGAGTTTGTGAATCACCTAGTCCATGTTACGCGAAGCACTAATTTGGATGCATCCTATATCTGGTTATTTAGTTCTTCGTCCGACTGTCATGTTTATTCATTGGCATGTTTGAAGTTTTTGTGCTACAACTTTGCTGAACGTTTTGGCACTGTTTTGTCTCACCCTCATCGGTATATCAATACCGATGTCGATAGCGACCGTCTGTAATTCTTTCAAGTTTTGCAACATTTGCTTCCAAACATATATATTTAGCCAGCCAATAGCTTGATTACAAGAAGAAGAACGTTTTATTTTTTAGTACAATCAGCAAAGGCAGAGCAGATAAAAATTCGACTAGTGACTGTAACTTCCAACTCTTGAAAATAAGATCGAGATGACGAATATGATTTTGCGGCGTAAAAGGTGGCACTATTCTGTTGTTTAACTCATAACGAAAATAATCAATTTTCTCACCATGAAAATCCGAAGTCACATAAACGAGTTTAACCGAAGGAAAGACCAACTTGACTGGTGAAATGCTATGCCGTGAAAAAATTGTAACTTCAGGCTTTTCGACAAAATGATTCGTTTAAGAGAAGAATGACACAGATTTGTATCTAATGAAAAATGTAATCTAATAAATGATCAAATTATGAGTTGTTTCGAGACACCTTCTTCATTAAAATGTTTTTGTATAAGTATGTGTATTGCACTCCATTTTGGGTGCATTAAATTACTGAAGAATGAATGGAAACAAACTAAGAAAAAAAAGCGAACTCTCTAGCAAAAGCAAAATGAAAATATCCTACGAATCAAACAATTGCTTCGCGAAGTATAATCAACTGATTTTCATAAAGTCATCAAACATAAAGCTATCTACAAATTCTAATGATACAATTTTTGAAGAATGTAATCAAATCATTCTATTATTAGAAATGATCCTGATAATAATCCAACAATGAAGAGATCTAAGAAAATCTTTCAATCATAGAAAGTGCTACGTCCGGGTTCTTGTAAAGTTGCACAACAGCGAACATTGCATTACCTAAATGAGATTAATAAATGTATGATACTATTACTTCAATGTAAACAAACAGGTTTATGAACAACTGAAAATGAAAAAAAAAAAAAATTTCACGCAATTCATGAACCTCATCCTTATATTGGTCACCCTTTATAGAAAGAATTTCGAAAAATAAATTGTATTTTTCCAGCTCAAAAGTTTGATTTTAAAATGAATGAAAGCAAACTATCGAAATGGACACAAATAATGAAAATAATCAATTTGAAAAAAGACTGATTCTAAATAAAATTTGGCATTCTGAGCAGAGGGAAGAATATATACAATAGTTTAAAATTAGGGTTTCGAATTGATACTCATATATTTTATTGGTGAAACTATCAGTTACTATTATTGTAAAATGGGCTTAAACAAAATAATATTCTATGATTGCAATAAGGAAACCTTTTTTGTTTTTAACTCGATTGGAAATTACAATCAAGGTAGTGTGTTAATTCATTAGAGTACCCTGCTCTGCCCTAGTAGACCAAGCACGGCAGGATAGGACAGGGTGCGAAAAACCACCCTGTGAACATCTCTGTTAGCTATCTACCAAAGTACATAAAACGCCGCTTGAGGGTGTGGGTGTGTGGATTGATGAAGAGAAGATCTACACCCACGCCCTAGAAATCACGATTTACACACGGTCATAAGCGAAAAATCATGCGAAAATGAATCTGAAACGTTCAGAGCAACTCAAATCGAATGAAAAATCAAAATGATGACTGAAATAGGTTCGCATCACTATAGAACGAAAGGTGCAACACGACCAATTTCCAAATAGAGATGTCCAAAATTCAATGTTAAATGAAAGAATCAAGACTTCTCCGCAAAATCAGAACACAAAAATGACACAGAGAAAAATAACACAACGAACCTTTCAATAAACAATAACATAAAACAACCGTGAGAAAGTTGTTACATGCACCACAACAACAGGCGAAACCAATGAGACCAGAATCGACACCAAAGTGCACAATCGTAAACATGACACTTGTTCAGACTCGAAAAGTATATGATGAGACTCTTAAGCAAGGTCAAAAGACGTCATGGTTTGCTTGACATTCACAACCACATCCTTCTAAGAAGCTTTCAATCTATATATGAATAAACTTTTGTGGGCAGAAGGATTAGAATCAGAAACAACAAAAATCTGTCTCTTAGATTCCTAATTAGAGTCATTGGTCCAGTTCTGTCCATGAAATCGCTTTTTTTGAGGAATATATGTATATATTTGTAATTCATTATGACTTTATTAGCCAAGAATATTGAAATTCGTTTTTTAATATTCTTTAAAACATTTTAATTTTTACTTTGTCTTCTACATGAACTGTGTTCACGTCTAGTAATGATTGTTCAGCATAATTTTCATTATGTACATCAGATTCAAGTTGTTGTTCAATTTCTTCATACATTTCAGCATCATCACCTATCACCTTATTTGAATCCTAATTAAAAATAAAAAAAAGAATCGAATCGAATAATTTTGCCTTGGCATTAACTGGTTAATTCAAGTTTTTTCATGAGTACAGCGACGACAATATTGAGAAGTACAAATTGAGCTAAAAGAACGAAAACAACAAAATAAATAGGTGAAATTATTGTCACAAAATGAATTTTGCCAGCATTAGGTGGATCCTCTTGACGTAAAGTATCGTTTTTTCCAATCATTTACTTTCATAATACTATTCCAATTATGGCCTGTTGCAACACGAAATAATGTAAGAAGAGCTATGCTAACATTTTAAATATGTGCATGTTTATCGAGACCACTACATAATTTTTCTTCACTACATTCTAATTTTTCGAATAATTGAACACCAAGTGTAGCAAAGATAAAGAATAGAAGAAAGAATAGAAGACTCTAATTTCAAAGAATAAGAAGAAACAAAATAAATTCTTTAATAATAGCCAAATAATTCGATTTACCAAATTTCCAACTTGTGGAAGAGCTTGAATAACAGTATCTATAGAGCTTGAACAACTTTGGCAATTTTCAGTAGTTTGAGTACAGATATAGAAAAGAAAAAAAATCTTTTATTCGGTTTGCTTCATTCATTTACCTTGTGCTATTCTCAATACTCTAATCACACGAATAAGTGTAAGATTTATTGGAAGAATATGCCCACTTAACAGTTTTTCCATTATAATACTAGCTATTGATAAAAGTACAATAAATGAATCCAACTGATTCCATCTTAAAACAAAAAATCAAATAGAAACAAATCTCAATTTTTTTTCTTACTTGTCTTAAAAATAACGTGATGGTCCAAATGCAACAATTTTCCATAAAAATTCAAGCAAGAATACAATCGTAAATACATGATTACAATATTCAAGAAACTTATCCAAGTTCTAAAAACAAAATGTTTTGACAATATAAACAATCAATGAATCATTCTTGTTTTTCCTTACAGATGGCATAGGATAAAATTCAAGTGACATTGTAACAACATTAACACCAATAATTGTAGCAATAACTAAATCAAAATATTTACTAACGCATTGATCATGTAAACGTTGACGCCATGGTGAAAAATGTGCATAATATGGTAATTCACACATAAGACGTCGTTTACGTTCAATTTTTTTTGCATATTCTGCTTTACGTTGAGCTTCTTCTTCAAGTTCTTGTTGGGCTCGACACTGATGAAAATTTTCAATAACAACACCAACGAACATATTAAAAAAAACAGCTGACAATAAAAATAAATGATATAAAATAAATTAATTTTGCTTCACTATAATTCCTTATTGGTTGCATTTCAACATCAACTGCATCAATACCATTATACATTATTTGTACCCAAACATCTTTTGATGAAAGAATAAATAGTGTCAGTAGAGCCTAAATAAAAGTAAACAGTTATAGAACAAAAATTATCTTCATGGCAAAAGTCTATTTGATAACATACTTGACCTATATTGCCACATGAGCCCGTCAGTTGTCCACGAAGAATTATCTAGCGAATCTGTAATTAGACTTTATTAAGCGATCTGTATTTCTATCACTCAGTCGTGCTCAAGGTTACGCAGTCCTTCCTCTGTAACAGATATTGCAATGTTGTAACTTTCCAATTCTACACTAAAGCTTTTGCGCATTCGAACTACGACTATCCCAACCTACCAAAATAAAAAAGTGGATGTTTTCAGATAAAACAAACATACACAATCGCTGCATAGCAAGTAGTTTTATATGAATGACTTGTGCAGCAATTTTCCGAGTTTTCACCAAAATGTCGGTGAATTCAATGCGTGGAATAACACAATACTTGGACTATTTTTTTAAATTTAGCTTGTATTTTTATGAAATATGATCGTAAAGGAGTATTGAATATAGGCCAAGAAATTTTTTGATACTCTGCCACTCGCGTACCATGACAGACATGTTGAAGGAGCAGCGAATACCAATTATCAGCCACGACTCGATCCAGCAGCTAAGAGTGACTACACTGCTGCTCCATCAATAGTATATAGTCAGCATTGACTGCAAAATAACCGATTAGAGGTTAACTTTCCTTCACCTATCGATACGACTTGACTTCGCAACCGACATTTTTACTAATTGCAAACCTTGTGTTATGTGATTACATAGTTTTCTTGTCTACAATTGAAGCATCTTTATCGTATTTCACATTTTAATCTCGTAGAGATTGCATTGAAAGCTTTTGTAAAAACATACAGTATCGTGATCATCAACTTCCTAATGCATTATTGCTAAAAACTCAGAGGAAGTTTTCAAATTTTGCATACCACCGCTTAGGTATACGACGAGACAAAAACTTCTGTTCATGTTTAGACAAAAAGATTGAGTTGATTTTTGACATGGCTTATTTCTCTTCTTTCAGTTTCAATTTGGTTTAAAGACATTGAATTGAAGATAAACGATGTACAAATAAATAAAATAAGAACAAACAAACAGTATTCTTTTCTTTTTCTTTTCTTATGCATTAGTCATTTTTCGATAGTGATACGGAAAAGGATTCAATATCTGTCTAGCTATTACTATTATAACCTTGTTTTTCCGTATGACTATTGAACAATGGCTAATAAATAAGAAAAGAAAAAGAAGAAGAAAATTGCTCATTTACTCTTATTTTATTTGTTTTTACATCATTTATCTTAAATTTAACTGTTGAGGAAGTATCTCATCGAGCTACCAAATATTACATTTTAATAAATTAATAACAGTAAATAAACCTAAATTAAAATTGAAAGAAGAAAATTAACTCATGTCAGAAAAGCTTCAGTTTTGCACATCACATATATTATCTGTAATACAGACATGAAAAAGTGAAGCAACATATATTTAAATAACACAACCATCGTAAAAAACCGAAACAAGATAGTGAATAATATGTGCAGATGACGAAATACCGTGCGCACAATACTGTAAAGTTTATTATAGTTTCATACATTTGAGTAGTAAGAGAAAAAGATAATAACCTTCATGTAATCAAAGCTAGGCAAAAAGCAAGACACACGTGATCAATGGTAATGTGAAAATAACTTCGCTTGATTAGTGATGAGAAGAGAAAATGAAGTAAGGAATGATACCAATGCGTAATTTGTTTCTTTCTGTGATCAGAAAAGAGACAGATAAGCAAGGTAACTTGTACTAGCATGAAATAGAGACAATGTGCAGAAAGAACGGAGTATTGTTGTTATTATTATTAAATATACCCGTACCTTTCATTATAAGGTGAAGATCAAAGCACAATATACAATTTAACAAAAGAAATAAAGAAAGAAAGATATTTTGAAAAAAAAGGTAAATTCTTCGATAGCCTTTATGATTGATTGTCGAAGAATACTTTAAGTAATGACTGTTTATCCGAAAGTTATCTCCAGTCATTATGAGCTTGATTCCGATAGTTCTTATAATGAATCTCAACTTTTGCCTTTCTGCAATCGTTATCTTGTCGAAATAATTTAAAATACAGAGTGTAACACAACTATAGCCCTCTCGTCTCCTGATATATACAGACAAAAATGTTTATTTTCGTTCACAACAAATAATATTGATATGGTTATAGTACGGATAGATGGGAGTACACAACCATTATTTGGCCCTATCATTTGCTCCAATCTATCTCTTGCTATTGAAACGAAAAGTTGAACAAAAGTGAAAAATCACTGTAACATAATTATAGCCTCCGTCCCCTTCTGATAAAGAAGTTTTACGAACCTTTAGGGCAGACTGAACCTTTAGTTTCACCATACTTATGGAATTATAAGTGTTTCTTATCTTTTCAATTCTATTTCAGATGTAATTTGAGTTATTTAACCGTACAAATTCGAGGTATGAGGCTTTGTTTGAGTTTCCACTACTTTTGAGCCACAAGTCTACCAATAACTAGCTGTTTAATAGTCCAGATTCCGTGAATTTAACAGAATTAGATCAGATTTCTTGAAGTAATGTTATTTGAGTCGAGTTTGGCAATGAATTGATTAGAAAACGCCCGCAAATTCTGTCATTGTATTAGAGATGAGGTAAGTAATTTATAGTAACTTACAGAAAAACACCTATTTCAAGCACAGCTTTTTGCTTAAAAACCTAGTCAAATTATACTCTGGGAAAGAAGAGATCACACTCTACCCAGAACACGCAAAAGCATTACCCACCAATATCTACTTGAACATTTCAGTCATTACACAGAAAACTGACTGATTGCTGGAGGCGACATAAAAATATCCCAAAATGTAAGAATCATAACTGATTCAGCAACAAAAAGATTTTACGACTTTCATGTGGTTTCCCTGAAAGGAACAGCTCCAAAAGTAGCGTGGACGTTAATGACAAGAAAGTACTTTTTCTTTGGTCAGTAGGTGATGCAACATACAATCTACTTGAATCACTTGCTTCACCACGATCATTTGATCAGTGATAAAACAACGTTCGCCTATTTAATCAAAATATTAAATAATCATTATGATGATACAAAAAACATAATGACATCGCAACTGTAAGTCTGTAAGGGTGTGGGTGTGCAACAGTAATACACCCACCCACGCCATCATCACCAAATACATCTCAATCGTTATCATCAATTCAAAAACTATCTGATGATGAAAATAAGAAAAAATTCCTTTTATTTGAACAAGTTAGTTAATATGAATATAAAATAAATTCTTATTGATTTTCTTTTCTGTTCTACTTAGTTATTGCTTGCTTAAGTAATTTATTACGATCACTCAAGTAACGAAAATTTATCATCTTGTCCTGAAATGAATGAATCAATAATTTTAGAAATCCAACATCTATGATCAAATTTACATAGGATGATCCAAAAGTTCCCGGAACTTCGGTATATCTATTTAGGGAAACGACATTCCGTCGATCTCCCTACGCCATATATTCAAGGTAGCTGTTGTGATATTCCATAGGAAATTTCGTTCATTTAACTCACCCTTTATATATCCTTTCGAAGTAAATAATAGGTATTGAATTGACCCCCTTCGTTATTGCTTGAATTTTGATACTTTTTTGAGCCCTCAAAAATTCTGGAAAGTTTCGAAATGGTGAACAGATTTTATGCAATACTATTAGCGGTTATCGGACATTGATGTGCTACTGCAATATTGAATTAGAATCATTAACAAAATTCAGATCAACAAGAGAAACTAGTCTTCCAAGCGACATTTATTGTCAAGAACATCAAAAACAATAATATATGTCAACCATTTGATGACATTCGAATCATTATTTGACATTTAACGGTTTCTATAGAGGCTAGTAATTATATCTATATTCGTAATAAATGTTCAAATTGAAATATAAAAAATTTATCAAGCAAAAACGTATCACCATGGTCTTGTCCGATCAGTTTGGATCATGGGTTTTTGAGCAACATGTAAAATAATGCCATTATTCGCTTAAAACTAAGAGGAATGAAGGTAAGACTTGCCAAGTGTACTCACCTTGGACTAAACTTCCAGGCTCTTAGCCATTGAGATGTATTCAAGATAGACTAGATAATCAGCAGCTGCAACAATTTAACAAGGGTTATAACCAAGGAGGTCAATTCAATGCCTATTGTTTACTTCGAAAGGATATCTAAAGGGTGAGTTAAAAGGACGAAATTTCCCATGGAAAATCACAACAGCTACCTCGAATATATGACGTAGAAAGATGGATGAAATGCCGTTTCCCAAAATAGATACACCGAAGTTCCGGGAACTTTTGGATCGCCCTGTAGATTTATGTAATGATAGAGCAATATATAATGCAAAATATCAGATTATTTCAATAAGAGATGAATACAACGAATTGTTTAATGAAAGTTATTTTGCAAAATATCAATGTACAATGACTGAACAAGTTAAAGAATCATATAAAGCTTTGAAAAACACCATGTGATATTTAATCCGATCACTTCATCGTCATCAATTACGATCGGATAAAGATAATCTAATCAAAAAATCAAATCAATTGTCAATTACTTCGTCTGCAATTGTACAAAGATAACATTGCGGCAAAAACTTAGGGAAATTCATTTAAAGAAAATCAGAATATTGTTTTATGAATAATAATGATAAAAGTTTCAGTGCATCGTATTCATCAATTGAGCATCAACTTTTCTCAAGCAATTTCTGAAAAATATCTAAAAGGAAATTGTATAGATCCAAATAAAGTAAAATATTGTTTGGTTTCTGTTCCATGAACATATTTCGTTGTTTTTGCTCGTTTTTTGTTTAAAGATAAAAAATAAAGACGAACATACCGATACAAAGCATTTTTGTTTTTTGAATATTTCAATCCATTTTTCTATACTGTATTTATTGAAATGGCTTTTTTTCATATTTAGTTTTTTTTTCTGTTTCACGACGAGACATTCACAAGTGTTGATCACCGATCCAACTGATATTTTATTGACAAGTAGAACTCAGTGAGACTAGAAAAAAATGGGGTTTTCGTCCGAAGTTCTGACCCAAGATAGTTCTCACAATTCTTAAAATATCCTGAAGGTTTTAGCCAAAAAGCATGGCTTCTTGTCGATGTATTGAATACTCAAGAAAAGCAGGTTTTATGGTTAATATTGTCGCCTATGATTGTTTTTTGAATATTCAAGACATCAAGAAGAAACCATCGAATTTGGTCGAAACGTTCAAGATATTATAAAGATGAGTGCGGATGTAGTGTTGATTATAACTATCTGTGTCACTTACACTCACACTTAGGCAATAGAATTAAGTATATAGTAGCATAAGTATGTTTTTCCTTCGCAATGCATCAATGGATCAAATAAAAACAGCGAATATTGAAATTGATATACAGAGAAGAGGAACGTCAATATATTACATGCACAATTAAAAGAGGATAAAAGACGAAAAAGAATTGATTCGCAAATATACGGTAAGAGAAACGATAGATGCTGTTAATAAAAATTGAAGGATTAATCAATACCTAATCGAAGTCATGACGAAAAAGCGATGTAAAATGCCATTGTTAGTATTCAATTACTGCAGTTTTCTCAAAAATCTTTTGTTGTTTATTGCTGAATCTTTACGGTGACACTGCAAAACAAAATGTCTATCTGGGGTATAAATATTTGACCAAATGAAACTGGTGTAGACGATCAATCGAAAAAGATTAGCTGTCGTTGATTGTTACCGAAGTTAATAATTATATTACTTTATTGATAAATTTTTAAAAGCAGTTTTTGACAGTATTTCTTCGATAAATATGATTTATTAACAGTGAAAACAAAATAGAGATATTCGATTTTTTTTCTAGCTTTCTCAGCACTATTAACATTCTTATGCTCTAATGCCAGGTTTCGTTGCGAAGGCAGCTGCTGAATATTGAATTACTTATATATATGTGATGATGATAGCACAAGCTTAGATGCGCAGATAGAAGAACAACATTGTCGATTCAGACAAGGTATGCAATATTTGGTACTTTTTAAAACTTTGTTTTTTTTTGCACACGATAATAAAAAAAGGTATCCAAGATATGATCTATGCAATGATATAAGATTGCACAGAATTTGTTGTTTTATCCTAAGTTATTGTTCTTTTGACACTGCATAATTACTTTTTTTGTAAATTGCAGTTTTTTTGCTTCTGAAAGAATTTATAGAGCCTTATTTTTCAGTAAACATCTGCCTATGGCGATAAGAAATTTACTTTCTCTACTATCGTTGATATCAGGACCTACAAAATCGAAGCCTCTTATGTAAGGTCAATTTAATGACAATGCAATCATTTCTCCGTCAAAAACTGTTTGAAGTCCAATTAGATTGCCGAGTTTCATCAGATGAAAATATAATATGATTTTGACTGTAAGTTCTTCACGTTCTATACAGCAGTAAGTATTAAAATCAAAGAGAGCATATTCGACGTTGCTACATGTACATATGATCTCAAATTGCCGTTTTTCGTTTACCACGATAGTCTCTTTAATGAAAATTATTTCGACTGGAGGTGTTAGAAAGTAGAAAGTTATACAATCGGTTTGTCGAATTTTTGGGAGATATTTTAAGAATGTTGCGTAATGAGGCTGTTTTACTTTTTTGTTCGACCATTGTATATTTTTTCTAAAATATTACTAGATACCATTTTCACTTAAATTTTCTAGCGAAAAATTTTTACTTGGGCAATGAAACAGCATTTCAATACATTACACAGAACAATGCTGGCACGAATGATAGTTGTCATTTGGCTATTGATTGCTGAGACTGTATCAGTTGGACAAGCTACAGCCGTAGATCTCAATGATTTCCAGCTGCGACCAGTTAGTAATCAAGCTGAATTGTTGAATATAGTCGAGAAGCTCGATCTCGAATTACCGAAGCTTGGTGTGAAGAACATTCTTGATCAGGCCAATCGGATTGGTACTCTAAGTACTACACCTAAGACATGTAATCCCCACGCTACTTTGAATCGGAATTTAACCACCGTCAGCTATTGCTTCAGTCAAGCAGACAGCGGCACCATTGGCGGTGATGTGGAATGGATGCCGCAGGGGGTTACTACAGTAGCTGATGCAATGGAAAATCAACTGTGGAATACCAAGCAACCAATACTTATCAGCTGGTACGACAAAAAATCGGACAAGGTAACGAACACGGATGCCGATAAAATAAAAGGTGCTCGAGTGACCTTCTTTGATCCAGTTACAGTCAACTATCAGCATGTACTGCTGGTATATCCGCTCATTAATAGCTTTGGAAATCCGAGCTACATGAGCCTGCGCACCACACAGAAGAATGAATACGATTCATTGCATGCCGGTGGTATTGCTTGGTATGGTAACTATCTGTATGTTGCAGACACTGGACATGGTTTTCGGGTCTTTGACATGCGCTATATCTTCGATCTGAAAACAGCTGCAAACGGTGATACGAGCGATAAAAATCAGATCGGTCGCCAAAATGGTAAATATTATGGACACGGCTATCGCTATGTCATGCCGCAGGTCGATGAATGGACCAACGTTGTCGAAAGGGATGTGACAAAGAAGTGTACAGATAATGCTGGATCACCAACATTTTCATTTGTAGCAGTTGACCGTAGCGGCGTCGATCATTTGATCTCTGGTGAGTTTTGCGCAGATAAAGCTGCTGCAGGTGATATTAATAAATCGGGACGTGTGGCTCGATGGCCTTTGGACGGCAATACTGGTCAACCAAAGCTCACCAATGGTCTCTGGAAAGCTGATGCAGCCTATCGATTACCAATCTCTAATATTCAAGGCGCAGTCTCTTACAACAATAAGTGGTACCTGAGCCGTAGCCAAGGGTCATCGAATGGTTTCCTATATGTTACAAAGTCCATTATTTCCCCCACCGGAATATTAGAAATTGATACTGCCCACTTTGCCGCGGTTGGTCCCGAAGACCTGTCACATTGGACCAACCCAGACGGTAGTGCAGGTGGTCTCTGGACCGTGACGGAGCATGCTGGTAAGCGGTTACTGTACGCTTGCGACATTGATCAACTTAACAATCGCGAGGGGAGCAATCGTATTTGTGGACCTCGTGCTAATCTATCATAAAGTTCCATATGTGCAAGTGCTAATTTAATCTTGCAACAGACGAGAAATCAAAAACAAAAATATTTTTGTTGGGGATAATACTATGCCAATTTTGGGTGTGGGTGGGTGTGGATATGGGTGTGGGTGTGGGTATGGGTGTGAGGTGTGGGTATGTGTTGGGTGTGGGATGTGGATGTGGATGTGAGTCTTCTCTTTATCTATTCCTGCCCGCCTAAGCACACCCATACACACAGCCATACAAAGACCCTTTTTTGAATCAATTAGCACAAGTTCAATTCATGAGAACTGGAATTGGTCGCCCAGATTACTTCATAGGAACTGAACTAGCAGACCAGTTCTTATGAACTCTTGACTAGTTCTCTCAGTTCAGAGCTGTTACACGTCTAAGCCCGAAGCGAAGTTCGATTTAGCTCAGATTCGATTTGTTAGATATCTATAGTCTTTTTTTATTTTGCATAGAGCAGTAGCCGACAATCTTCTAGTCAATTCAGTTTTCGTTATTTAGATTGATCATTGCCAAAGCAATGAAAAAATTAAGTTTTGATGCTTCTTGTTTTATATGTAAACGCTTTTGTAGTAATGTATATGTTACATTCTCGAATGCTAGTTTGACTGATATGTGAAAGTTGTACTACAAAAAGGGAATATTCTCATCAAGATTTTATAGTAGAGCTCTTGCGAAGAAGCAATGTAACCTATCATACAGAACTAATCAATAGCAATAAGCAGCTATGAACGAAAAATAGCCTTCAGAAAGAGCTGTAAGTCGTGTTTGTGTTGTCCGCTCCAAAATATAGTGTCCTCCACTGTTTTTTGAATAACTCAACAACAGCATTAGGTAGAAATCTGCGATTTTCACCATTGAAAAGAGAAGAGAATTTGACATCGAATGGTTTATCATACAATTTTCTAGCTATTTGGTAAGGTTTTGTGTAGAATTTTCTCGAAGAAATTCTTCTTTTAACGGAGGCCGACGAAGGGAAATTTCATGCAAAAAAAATCAAGAAAAAAATTTTTTTTTCATTAAATTTCATCGAAAAAACGAATAGAAGTCCATAGTAAAATATTCATAACTCGTCAACCGTGCCAGCTAAAAAATTGGACGAGGCTCAGTTTTGTAGATCTTCGGTTGACCGTTCTGATAAAATTTTGGAATGGAATGTATTACTATAGCGGCTAGACAGTGTCCAATAGGCTTTCAAAAATCTCGATGAAAAAAGCAAAAAAAGCTATCGAAATGACTTGTAGTATATAATTTGATGTTCCTTTCTCTGTTCTTTTCAGTGGTGAAATCCACAGGTGTCTAGAGAATACTGTTCGCATGTTATTCAAAGCAAAAAGTGGAGTACGCTATATTTTGAAACGGTCAATAGATTCGATGAGGCAAATCTTTGGAAGAGTATGTGTGGAAAATATAAATTTCTATGTATATAGAAATTGGCAATACTGACGATCGATTCATTAATATGATTTTAGGCAACATTTCGTCTTTTTACATACAAGAAAATCTTTCTATATACATATATCAGAAAAGGGTTCACGAATTTGTAGAATGAGTGGTATCTTGTTTATTGAAATGATGTAAAAATGTATACAATTTTAACAGCTTAAAATCGATAAATAGGCAGTAAGATTCCCCTGAGCCGAATACGTGATCTAGTTGTTGATGGATATTCGACGAGTTGGACGTGACAACTGATTGTTGATTGAGATTCGACCAGTTGAATTTGGTTCTATTTGTTAGAGATAATATGAAGCAGAGATCGGGAATAATAGTAATAATAGCTCTCGAAAGATCAACTCTCCATGTCGAGAATTTTGCATATCGATCGTAATTTCAGATCCAAACCTGGAATGATAGTCAGGTGGGATGACCATTTGGAGGCTTGAGATTCATTTTAAGAATAGCTCTTCTTTTCATTGTATCAATACTAGTATTTACCCACCACGTGTAGAAAATCAAACAGGCATAGGAGAAAACATTCGTGGTACATTTTGTAATTAGATCGACTGTTTCCGTTCTTGGCATCGTGATAACATAAATGATATAGGCCCTCGACCAAACCAGACAACTCAGGACATACACACTTGCAAAACGGTTAGCAATTTTAAAGTTTTCATTCGTTCCATCATTCTCATTTTGCGAGAGCATATTTTCCGCGTATGCTTATATGGGTTTGATTTTGTTTGTGACATCAGTCTCATCTGTCGTAGCATCAATAAACGATTCCTTAGTTTTATTATTTTCTTGAGCAATTCTTTTGTAAGTGATTACAACCCACAACAGAAATAAAATCACCAAGAGAAGGTTAAGGATCTAACAGAAGAATCTATTTATCCTACGCACTTTTATTTGCCATGGCCTAGTCTTTGTTTGAAACAGAAATGAAAGTAAAAGGTCGAGAGTAAAAGTGACGATAACGACTCACGAAGTCTTCACTTTCATACCCCCTCCCTCCCTCGCGAGAATAAAAGGCCATGGTCTTCTATTATGAAAATTCACATAGCTTATGCAAAGATTGCCTTCTTTTTTGGGCTATTTTTTGCTAGGATTTACGTAGAAAACCAAGGGTTTTTGGGAAATTGTTTCGGCTTTCAAAAAGGTACTTTTAACAGTCATGTACCATAGAACCAGCTTTTTTAGTAGAAAAAAAGTAATTGTAATTAAAAACCCTTGGGTTTTTACTAAAAAACGAGATTTTTTAATGCTAAAATCTAAAAAAATCCACTGGATCTCTAAAAAAAGGCTTCTGGAAATCTCACAGTTTTATATTGTGCCTTATGAATTTTCTTTCGGGGTGATCTTCTATTCTGAGGGGGGGGGGGGGGTGGATTACTCGTTTATTTCTCACATGTCTCCCTCTCGACATCTATCCTATTTCTGCATTCGACACTTTTTTTTTCGATATTTTTACTTTGCAACACTTCCATTTTCCATGCTTTTCATGATACTATGTTCATTCCAAAAATCATTGCTTTCGAGAATAGCATTGAGACCAACACTTACTACGCCCGTACAAATGATTATGGTCAGAGTAACGTAATGTGTGCTGCATACAGAGTTTCTGGAACATGTAGAAACATCAGATTTTTCAATTCAAATTCAACAAAAATAATGTGAGAGTGCATTATTGCCCACAATCGGCAGCTAAAGGTACTAAATTGTAAAGTTTTGATCTTTCTGTCTATGTTGCTCTGGGATCTAGTATTGCAATTTATGTTCAGATAATTTCGATCAGATATTGCCAACACACATTACTTCAAAAGATTTATCCTAGTCGATACAATACAGTAGAAAAAGTAGAATGATAGTAAACTCAGATATGCAGAAGAATCCGGGAATCAGAGTTTTTACTTACAAGGGAACTTTTTCAGATGGTCCCCTCGGACTTCAATGAATTTTTGTCTAAAGATACTACATAGTGTCCTAATAAAAACCCTAAAAGCGTTTGGGTTCCTATTGCTTTCTTCAAAAGATATGTATATTGTTATTTTACCCTCATAAGACATATTATATAATGTTTAAGAGAGGGTTCGCCGGCCGACCATTCAGGTCAGATCTTGCAAAACATTTTTTCTATTTATTTAGCGCAAATGAAAGATCATATTGAGAAACTTATAAATTCAAAATGTCAAATTGTTCTGAAGCACTTGTGAAAAATACCAAGGAACATAAACGTCGTTTTTCTTGTAGTGAGATCATAAAAATTGAATAAAAAGTTGTTTTTACATACTGATGGTTCTTTTGAGAATTTTTCTGTCTCAGATCGTCCCATTGATCCAGAAGAAGCTCTTGAAAGGTGCAGAAAAAATTCTCTACAAAATGCGGTATACCAGTGCTCATTACAATCAGTTCTAGTAGTTGATTATACTTTCACAAAAAATGGGGATGCATGTTTGGTGGTCATTCTTTTGCTTTTAATATGTTCCTAACCTCAACGAACAATGGTAATGTGAAAACATGATTCAAGTTTCTGCAAACCCTTGACATTCTGTAGCTCTTAAGACCTTTTTCTCAGTCAATGGGGCGATCTGAGACAGAAAAATTCTCAAAAGAACCATCAGTATGTAAAAACAACTTTTTATTCAATTTTTATGATCTCACTACAAGAAAAACGAAGTTTATGTTCCTTGGTATTTTTCACAAGTGCTTCAGAACAATTTGATATTTTGAATTTATAAGTTTCTCAATATGATCTTTCATTTGCGCTAAATAAATAGAAAAAATATTTTGCAAGATCTGACCTGAATGGTTGGCCGGCGAACCCTCTCTTAAACATTATATAATATGTCTTATGAGGGTAAAATAACAATATACATATCTTTTAAAGAAAGCAATAGGAACCCAAACGCTTTTAGTGTTTTTATTAGGACACTATGTAGTATCTATAGACAAAAATTCATTGAAGTCCGAGGGGACCATCTGAAAAGGTTCCCTCGTAAGTTCACATTTTCAACGAATTTCATAAGTAGCACGTCGTTGAGATTTGTGAAAAATATATTTGTCATTGCTTTTCTTTTCATGTTCTCCTCATTTCTTCTAAATAAGGCCTTTCCTAGAAAGTTTATTAATAACTGAAACTTCAATTTGGGTTTTCAATTGTTTTTACCATCAGAGCTTTTATATGCATGCATTTTCTTACGATTGTTCAACATAAGATTTGCATATTCGATGCAAGGAGAAGTAAAAGAAAGAGTACCGTGATTGAATGGTAAGCCAAAAACGTTCCTAATAAGAACAGCTCATATAAGATGTTGATTAGACATGTTTTTCTTAAACAATTTTTTTCCTCGTGAGTGAAAAATCCTTGGCGTTTTCGTCACGAAAATTTTCTTTGATAGATGGCCGATTAGCTTACAGGATTTTAAGTCAAACGAATGTTTTTTCAATCATTAACATCAATGAAAAATAAATAATATTCCTGTTAAATGATAAACTATCATAAATTATTCTTAGCTTCGAATACGATCAAAAAAATCTAAAAGCTTATGTTGTGCTCACACCTTTTTTGAATTTTTTTCTACTATTATAAAATTGATTTTCTAAAAATTCCAATTAAGTATCGGAAATAATAGCACTTTCCACATAATACACATCCAAGACAATCATTAAAAGTAAGAATCAAAAGAATTGGATTCAATTAAGAAAGTGATATCTTTCTCTCAGTTTATTGTGTTCCAATACAATATTCTTTTCAATTTGGTTTCATAGTGTCTTTTCTAAATGTTGAAAAACTATCCATTTTCTTACTCTGTACAAAACTATCGTTTCATTCTTTTCTCAAATTTTTCTTTCTTGATGCTTATATAGTGATTTTGATTTCCTTTATCTATTTTTTTTATTTTTTTGAAACAATATTATTGAAATTGTTTAGTCACTCTTACATGACAAAATGATTTAATAATTATATCTGTACGAACGGTCCTTTTTTTCTCTTTTTCTCGATAACTATTTGCATTCATAAGGAATATGCGCATTTAGGAACCTTCTTCTCAATAAACCATCGTCGGTAGTCAAAAGAGTAAATATTTCATATGAAATTTAGATTTCGGCATCATCATACAGCTTTTAAAAGAATTAAAAAGAATGTTTGAAAAAGATGACAACAAGCGACTTCGATTATATATTCATATTATAAGTCACCTCTAATTGTTTTCGATGCTTGGATCAATCTAAGAAGCGTCAGAGTTCGTAAGTATATTGAATTTGAATCTTATTCGTCTGAGGAAGCTGTGACCAAAAACATATCAATGAATCTTTAATCCAAGGCTTATTAAAATAATATCTTGTATTGATTCCTAATTGTGTTTGACTTTGATCTGTTTGATGAATGTTATTCCAAATATCAATGTATTATGTTGTTAAATTCTATTAGTTTGCACTCTGGCTAAAAATAATGGAATAATTTTCCCCTTATGTATTTCCTACGATAGAATAAAAATGTTTTTCTCACAATTTGATATTCCAAAAGGTAAAACATTAATTTGTTTTTTCATAAAAGTACTTTGGAACATTTTTTTTATGTTGACGCAGTAGAAGTCATTCGTGTACAAATTATAGCATGAACTAGCGAAAATGAATACTGGCTACGTAAAATTTACAACTACATACTGTGCTCTCTAAATGAAATAGAAAATTATATTATTTGTCTTTAAAATAAAAAACAAATTTCATAGCTTTGTGCTTGATCTAAAAATGAAATCTATGTAGATTTATTTTAAACTAAAATTCAAGTTGCTCCGTAACATGTATACGTATTTGACTAATAAATCAACATGATTCGAACACCAGCAGCATTTTGATCAATTTTGTTAAGACTGATGTAATTGAGTTCAATTCTTTTCGTTCTTAATTTTAATTATTGTCTTTCGTCTTTATTGTGAGTAAAGTGCTATTGTTTCGATACTTGATTGAAATTGTTAGAAAATCATTTTCATAATAAAAGAAAAAAAAATCGAAAATAACAGGTATAGGCACAGCAGAAGCTTTTATATTTTTTGATGGATTCAAAGCTAACAATGATTTATGATAGTTTATGATTTAATAGGAATATTATTTATATAGCATTGATGTTAATGATTAAAAAAAACTTCGTTTGGCTTAAGGCCCCCCCCCCCCCCGGCCCCTTAGAAAATGCATTTTTCGGTAAAGTAATCGAAGTCGAATTTTTATCATAGGAAGATGCAGCGAAGTTTTCTCTTTCAGAATATAACCCACGATGCAAAAGTATCCGTACAAATGTCTGAGGCTATTGTGCAGCGAGGATGAATCATAGAAATTGAATTAACATGTCTTCTGATAGAGTGAAATGAGCTCTTTTGAATGATGTATGTCTTGTTCATTCATCAGAAAAAATGAGACTGACGCAGGGAAAATATAGAAGGCTTCTAAAATGAATTGTTACCTGGTGTACCAACAGTTTTGCGACATTTTGTGTGTCGCATATATCTCGGCTTGAGAAAAATAATAAATTCATAATTTTTTCCTTAAAAGATGCGCCNAAGCATCTCTTGGCTTCCGTTTTTGCTCAAAGTTATATCGATTTTGATATAATATTTGTAAATTGAATAAAATTGATATATTGAAAAAAGCAGCCGAAAATTAGCGCAAAAATGAAAAAGTGTAGGATGAAATAATTTATTGCTTATTTCAAAAGAAAATGGTGAACATGTTAGAACTTCTATTTCCTAAACAGTAGGATTCAGTAAGTTGCCCTCTTTGTTATTGTTAAATTAAGACTCAGGACATTATTTGAACATAAAATTCGATTATTCCTCGGCGATCAATTAAAAAATCGCACTTTTTCTCGCATAATTGCGTTTCAAACTACATAAATACGATGCTTCGCACCGCATTAAAACTGTTCATTGAACTCTTCGTTTATGTATGTAAATCCAACCACTAGTTTCGTAATTGATTCCTTTATACTCATGATGATCCAAAATCAATAAGAAAACTGGTTTTTCAGTATAATTTAACGACGAATAAATATTTTTTAAGATATTAATGCAGCACTGAGAAGACGTTGCTCATGGTATCAAAAGAGAGAGAAATTTTTGAGAATAGTAACCAACGAAAGATAATTGTCAAGTAGTTGGATTTACACACCAGGCTTCAAAATCGAAGCACTTTCTAGATGTTCCGATCTAGGCCGTAGCAACAAAAAAATTCTCATGTACGTTCGACTCAATGCAAATCACAACTAAATTGCTCTTATACAGATAATAGCAACTTTGAGTTTTATTTTAAAAATTTTTGTTTTGATGGAAACATAATTATTTATTAATTATTACATATGTATTTTTTTATTTTACATAGAAAGTCGAAGTTCCGATGTCTTTTCAACACATACACTTTATGATTCATATGAAGGACAAATTAAAGAAAGAAGGAAAGAAAATGAACATTTGTTTGTTTCTCCAACCAAAAGCCGTACAGAACCTCTACCAAGGATGGAATGAATAAATGTTACAAGCGCTTATAACACTGATTCAATTCATCAATGAATCAAAATTTATAGATAATAATGAGAAATAGAGAGTGTTGCTAGGTAACGAAAAAATCGAAAATTCCTTGGATGGGGAACAAAAATAATTTTCAGAAAAGGAATTAAATAAAATGATAAATCCATCTACGACAACTCCTGTTCGAATTTTACCAAATAATAAAGTATATAGACAATTATTTGAAGCACAAGTATGAATTTATTCCGATGGTTAAATCGAAAAGAATTGAAATTTGTTTTCTTCTACTTTTTGTCTTCGATTAGGTACAATTAAGTGATGCTTATAGTCGAGTACGAAATAATCAATTATCACAATCTGTTAACATTACATCACGTCCAGATGGTGTACCAGTTGTGCGAAATATCAAACCACATCGTATGTTCATTTATAATATAAAAAGTCCAAAGAAATAATTTATAAACAATATCAAGTATAATTAGAGTAAAATTAAATTCATATTTTATAAGAATAAATAATAAGCAATTAGTAGAAATTATTCGAATATTTTGAATGAGAATTTCTTACTTTATCAGAATATATTTTAGTCTGCATTACTAATTTGACAATGGATTTTTTTATAAAAAAAAAAAAAGAGAAAGAAGTCAATTGAAAAGTAATTCAACTGTTTCGTATAATTCTACTGAATTGAATAATATTATTCCGAAAAAATAGTATCGGTACTACTAATCTAAAGCAATCAATATTCGAGTGCGAATGAGATGTAATGGAAAAAAATATAGAGGAAAAATGTCGACTAAAAGAAGCTTGAATGTGTGTAAAAGAGATGAAGCAAGTCTTCTATCCGTATCCAAAAATCAGTACTGACTGACGATTATCGATTATACTAATATAAGCACATATACAGCGCTTGAAAGTGACATACGTAAAGGAATGAATTCATCAAATGATGAAATGCTTGAATCATTCTATTTAAGTGCTCTTTATTGCTAGTCTTTTTTCCTTATCTACTTTTCATATTCGCTATTTTTTTTTTCTTTCGACTTTTTTCAATTGGGATATCCGGAGTTTAAGAGAGACAACATAATTTCTTTTTAACAGAATACAAGAGAAAATTTTTCCCTTAGTAGAGAAAAAAATGCAAGTTTTACATCATTGAGATCATATTATACCTTCGACTAGATCAACCTTGATACACTTGAAATACTTATCCATAAATTCTATCAAAATCGACAGCTTAAGATTAATCTATGGTTTCATAGATTACATTTTCTATTTTTGGATATACCATAATTTATTAGTTCAACACAATTTCATTTATGCACTGAACAGCTTGCTAATAGACAAGAAAAAAAAATACTGTGTATCTTTATTACATTTCTTCATATTAATATTTCATCTAGTATGAGTTTTGGCGCCTCTTTTATGATCAGATTTACTCCATTGAAATTTCTACACATGTTTATGTTCTCTATTTTGGGTTTAAAGAATTAGAGATAAACATGGATTTCATAATCCGAATTAATTTTATATTTTCTTGTATCATTTGAAAACTTGAAAATAAAAATACAATTAGTCATTTTATAATAATATTTACTCATTTAGAAACACAAAAACAAAAATGGTTGACAAGTATGTCATTTAGTAATGATTCTAGTATTAATCCAGTAACAATTTCGTATGATTTTATGAATCTTTTCTATTCTGAATTGAATTTCATATTGAATAATTTAGATTTCATGATGAACGAAAACGACGTCAAAATGAACGACAACAACAATTAGATGAATTAAAACGTGAAGTTTTTAATTTACCTGATAACATTGCACATAGTTTGTATTTTATATTAAATTATTTTTCAATATAACTTTTCTTTTTCAAATAGTTGATACTGAAAAAAATAAAACTATTATTGATGATACTACGAAGAAAGGAAATGTAACTGAACGATTAGCATCTAATCGAGAAACAAAATATAATCAATTATGGGCGGAATTTTTAGAGAAAATATCTGAAACTAATCAAGTATTTATTTAAGATATAAAACTCATAAAGAAAAAAGCTAACAAATTCTTTTCTATTTTTAGAATTTATTACTCGAACTTGAAAAGGTCACTCGACAATGTAATATATATTATGAAGATGGTGATAAAGGTAAAAATTTAATTGAATTTGCTTTTCTTTATTCTTTTTTCATTTTAATTTTCTAATATCTTCTAGAAATTGATGAACATTTAAAAAATCTAATCTATCGAAAAGAAATAACATCATTAACAATTAAGTCATTTGAATATGCATTTAATCAACTTGATCAATATCTTTCACCACGTCTCTCTCAAATTCAAGAATATTGTCAATCAATTGAAGATCTTGAATTAGAACGAATTCATAAAGTATATTTGTTATTGTTTAAAAAGACAAAATCTCATTTTATTTTTCATTTTGTTTAAAAATACATATAGATTCGTGATTTATTTAAATATTATTCTGAACATTTGTATAGGACACATCATTTATCTGATAAAGATACTGCATATGAATTAGAAAAACAAGCGAACGTTAGTACTCGAAAAAATTGAATATAAACGATTTATAAAAAAAATTTTTCTTGATTGAAAATAGGAATTAAATACACAAATGTTGGATAATCGTCGTGTATATGCTGAACTTGAAGCGAAATTATTAGCAGGTGAAACTGTTCGTATACATCGATATCAAGCTGAACTTATTAATTATCAAACTAAATGGAGAGATGCAACATGGATCATACATAAACAAACATGGATGTGAGATAAGAATTTCTTTTTTTTTTGTGATAATTTATTTATTGAATCTTTCTGTTAGTTCAAAATTATCACAATGTAGAGCAAAATTAGAACCAACAATTTTATCAACATGTCAATCAATTGGTACAGATATTACTACAAAAACAAATTTGTTTATAGAGCATATATATAAGTTAAAGTAATTTAATAATTGTTTTAAAATCAAATAATCAACAGTTGTTTTTAGTTCATTCATTCCACCTATATCAACACGTGAAAATGCACAAAAATGGTATAATCAAGGTCATGATATAGTTAATAAAATAGTTAATAAACGACAAGAACTTGTTCAACAAATAAATGAAATTGTTAATAATGAAATCAATTTATTAAAAAAAGAATCAGAATTAATTCGAGTAAAAATGATCAATAGCAATTATTGAATAAAATAGTATCGTTTATTTTAATTTAATAGGAAAAAGTTATTCATAATCAAGTTTATAATGAGGAACAATTACGAATTGCATATGGTCGTGACATTGAACCATTGTTTGCAGAGCGAAAACAATTTTTACAAGAATCAATTATTGATCGAATTCAGGTATGAGAGAATTTAATAGAAGAATGACATGTTTATATATATAATTGATTGCAATTTCACGAAGAAAATATTTGAAATCAAATGTTTTTTTTTTTTATGACTGAATGTATTCATTTGAGATATGTTGGCTCTCATGTGTTATAAATCAGATATCTGAGCAATATCTGTCAAACTTGTGTTGGGAATAAAAACTCAACTAGCTTTTGTTTGTAGTCGAGATAAAAGAATGCTTTGAAAAATAAACAAAATTTTCAAAACTTTCTCAAGTATGTAAAGATTAAAGACAAATGGTTTATTCATGAAATCAAACATCAACAATTTTGTGTGACTTATTCTTTAGCTTTCATTTTAATTTTATAGGCAATGTCTAAGAGGCATCTGTAACAACTATGGACGTAGTGAAGGCTACAAAATCATATAGAGTTCGAAGTAAAAAGTACATGGATCGCCATTCTGGGCTGCATCTTTAATTTTTCACACGAATATATCATTGTTTGTGAACATCGACATCCATTGTTATCTTGGTTTAAATTGTAAAAGATGATAACGATATTTAGCTGATGTTTAATTCTAATGCATGGTATCCGCGTACTATTCCTTTCAAACTTTACATGATTTTGTAGTTTCCCCCAATGTTCGTAGTCTTTACAGATGTCCACTTCTATAGAGTCATTGATAAAAGACACTCAGGAGAAAGAGCAGGACTAGGAGAGGATCAGTTGGTGTTGACCAGCATTTTCAAAGGAACAACTTCTCAGAATTCTATAACGCATCATCTACGAATGATTCGTGCATGTCAGTCGTTTAATACAGGAATAGTATATTTCAGTCAATAGTTTCTTTCGAGAATAATTCTAGAGATCTGAATACTGACGGAGAGGAAGAGTCAAAAAAAAAAATTATTCTTACTTTGACGTTCATTATAATTGACTTTTCTAAGTAGAAATGAAATCAGTTAGTTCGGACTATTCACATTCAAAACTTTTTGTACAGTTGCAATAAACATTGAATTGAAAGTTATACATATCGTATCTAGATTTAAGTCGTAGAGAACTAATTTTTGTACAATACTGAATTATTTACAACATCGAATAATATCACACATTGGATGATCGACATGCATTATTTTCAATGTGTGTCTACTTTATATTCAATTTCCATAATCAAATACATCTATGAAAGATATTGTTACATCTATTGCATATTCTTTCTTTTAGAATAATGAGTTGATTACACATAATTTTTAAATAACTATTCTATGAAAGTTTTCTTTTCATTTTTTAATGATTAATTATATAGATTGTCTATGAACAATTAACAAATGCAATGTATGAAATACTTGATCGTCTCTTAGCATTCATAAAACCTGCAGGTGAACAATGGGATGATCATCAAAATCGACTTGAACATGTTGCTGTCCAATTACTTAGTATCATGCAAGAATGTCGACGACCACATGATCTTCAAAATGAAGTAAAGCTTCAATATCCAAGAAATAAAAAACTAAAATACAATAAAACAATTTTATTTTATTTCCTAGAAAAAATTAACAAAACTTGATTCAACTCTCGATGAAATGCGAAGTGCATCTAATGAAACAGCATTAGCACGTCTATTGACTTCTTCTTATGACCAATTAGATAGTCTCAAAGCAAGGTAATAAGAAAAAAGAGCAACTTTAACTCACAAGACTAATTCATATAATGTATCATATATTATTTAGTTATGCACAATTTTATGATGCAGAACATTTAATTGTAAATAAATATTCAGATATGATTGCTGAAGAAGTTAATCGATATAAAACTGAAATGCTTGATTATTTTCATGCTCGACAAGTCGATGAAAATAAACCTGATGACCATCATTCATCATCATCAGTTTATCAATATTATACAACATCATTAACACAAACAACTTATGAACTTGAAGGTTATGTTACTAATGAATCGGACATAACACAGCAAATTAGTACTAATAATGAATCTAAACAGTCAACAAAATCACCAATGCAAAGAAGAAATTCAAATACTGTTACACGTTTAGAAAATGAACAAGATCAACCACAAATACAAACATTTCTAACTGAAAATTCAATATTAAATATAGAAATACCAACAAATGAAACGAAGTCAATACCATTTTATGAAGCATTTCAAATACCATCTAATCTTGTAAATTCTCTTATGATTAAGTAAGTTTTATTTTCATTTATTTACTTTGAAAGTTGTTTGGTTTTTTTTTCTTTTTGTATATTAGTTTATGTCGAGCTTTTCTTGATTACTATGATCAATGGAAAGAAGAAACAGTACGACGAGCTGATGCAATTATTTATTCAAAACATGATGAATTAGATAAAGAAATGGATTTTCAAAGGTGTTTACATGAACCAAGACGTGAACGAATTGAAACTGATATACATAATGTCAGAGCAGGTAAAATTTAAATTAATATTTGCTTTATTATTTCTTATAAAGACGAAAGGTGGATATTTGAACTATTTCAAAGTTTTTTTACACAAAAAAAATAAAATTAGCTTCATAGAAGCGTTCGCCATTCTACTTACTTTCTGTTCAAAGCAACAGTTGATAAGTATTCAGAAATGAATAAGCATCATTGTAGATTATTTACTAAAAGAAAACTATAGAAGTTATATCTAACAACTAATAATAAATGAAACTATGAAAAACATTTAGACTGATAGATTCAATGCAATATTTCTTTATGATATGTTGCATAAGGATTATTCAGTCTATAAAACTTGAAAGAGTGCTCAGTGATTTTGGTAAACAATTAAGTTGAAATAGAAACGGATGGAATAAAAGTTTTGCACTCATTTTTGCTGTTTTATGTAGCATTGCAATGCAATGCAATGTTGCAGATGCTTTATCCTTTTTGTTGGTTAGAAAGAGCAAGATGTTAAAGGTGAATGTATATAAAAGAATTTGAACGGAAATGTTTTCCGCAGACTATAAAAACTTTTGATGATAATTTTTTTTTATTCAAATATATTTGTTTGAACTATTTCATTATTGATTTTCGATATTTTTCCAGCAACATAAATATACGACTGTTCATTAAAACGAAGGCTTCCATTACGAGGTTCTACTCAGACCTACCAGAAAAACTGATTTTTGAATTTAGATTTGAGACTTTGCATAGCGACAGATCTTAATGAGAATAGTTTTCGTGAATGTTTCAGATCTTGCTACTGTTTCTTTCCTAAGATACAACTATAGGGATAACGTCTCTTTTACATCACACGGATAAATCATTAGATTTGATGTTCTTATTTCAAGATAGAAGCAAATCAAAAGATGTGAAAACTTCACAATAAACTACTCTCTTTAATGCCTATCTCTATGCAAAGTTTCAAGTCAAAATTCAAAAATCAGTTTCTTCTGGTGTTCTTGAGGGAGAACCACGGTATTTATTTAAAAACTATCATAAAAATGCAGTATCTCCGTAGCAATAAGTTGAGGACATGAACTCTTTTCAGGATATTTATAACTCATTTAGGTCAACATAATACATATAGTCTCAACTCAAAAATGATTGAAGGAATTCTCTCATGAATATTTCATAAAAAAAGTCATGCCTTACTTCAAATAATATTGTTTTGTAGAGAACTCCATAAGCTCTCTTCTTTATATAATTATATATATATAGATGTTGACAATTTCTCTTTTGCAGTAGAATTTGAATTGTTCGATTATAGTGACGATTTATGCAAAAATTAATAACACCTGAAGACTCAATAAAAACCTTATAAAATGCATCGAATATTTATTTTATTGATACAATAATAGTACCCTGTTTCTTACTTTATAAAACTCGGAAAAGAAGAATAAGAACAGAAACCTTTCTGAATCGGATGAAGTTTTTGTTGTTGTTGAGATTTCAAAAAAGTTACAAACAAATTTCCTGACAGCTTTTATTGTTCTAAGATTTTTTTTAACCTTCGTGAAACATTTCTAATCAAATTTTTTGCACTAAACACCTTGCTCTTTTTAACAAACCAAAAAAAATTAGGATAAAATCTCTACAATGACTCAATTAGCTTTTCTTAATAGATTAAAAAAAAGAAAGTAAACAAACAAGAAAATTAATACAAGAGAATATCACAATTATAATCAGTTTTTTAGAAAAACAACAAGCGATCTAATATGAACTATCATGATTGAATAAAAACTAATATTTTATCTAAATAATTGTGTTTATTTTGTTGGACTGATTTGTTTTGTCTTTTTATTAGCTGAAATTGTTATGCATGACGAACGAGTTGAACGTCATATACGTGGTGTTCAAGAAACATTAGAACAAATTGATGCAGATTATAGTCGAATGTTAAAAGACTTTTCTAAATCAATCAATACTTATAGAGATGATATATTTAATTTGGAAAATGTATTTGTTAATGCAACAACAAGTAATCGTCTTTTAGCATTACAAGATCGTTTACAAAAACAACGTGATACATTAATGAATAATATACGAATATCATTAAGAAGTTTTCGTAAACGTTTTGATGATTCTATGCAATATTTACGACAAGCAAATGTTAAATTTCGAAAATCATTTAAGTTAGATTTTAGATTTATTATTAAATATTGTTTAATATCATTTTATTTATTCTAGAACGTTTTCTGAGGGTGGAAATTTTAGTCGTGAAGAAATAGAAGTCTATCGAAAAAAACTTGAAAAAACAATATTTCAAATAGATAAAGCTGAAACAGCTATATTAAATGAATTAGAAAAACTTGAAAAAAAACAATTAGAAGATGCAAATAAAATAATGAATCAATTTCAAGAACGGTAAAATAAAAACAATTAAAACTAATTTAATTCTTTTTTCAAACTATTTAGTTTTAAAAATCATATGACTGATTTAAAATTTATTGAATTAACAAATCGATGGATAAGTGAAACACAAGTTAAGATCAAAAGTGAAGTTGCTGTTAATAATGAACATGCACAAATGCTTAAAACACTTATTTTAACTTATCAAGCTAAAATTGATTCAATTCTAAATCCAAATTTAGATAAACCAGTAAGAATTTTCTTATGAGAAGAACAACTTATTGGAGAAATTTGAAATTTTCAGAGCAGATAGATTATGATGAGTAGAGTAAATGTTGTCATGAACTCAAAGTTCTTGGATAGTTGTCTATAAAATACTGTGACAAAAATGTTCATGATAGAGATGGCGTGAGATGTTTCAAAAATACTATCTCGGCTACTTCTTTTTGGAAGAAAATCATAAAATTGCATGAATTTGCATCTGATTTGAGTGTCTAAAAGTTCGACAGTCAGAATTGGGGTGAATCTGATGAATTCAATCTAACTGTGATAATTTAGCACAGTCACAGAAGGAGATTTTCGAAGACTGTCGTGACAGTGGCAGATTTTCAGACGCGATGAACATTTCTGTACTTCGAGCTAAACATTTTTTCAAGCATTCAACTGTGTTTGAGGTGGGTATGTTTTTATTTATTGTCCTTCGAATAAAAAAGTCCAAATATCGAAAGTATCCTCAAACATCCATGCTTTTTTGAATAGAACGTTTTTTTTTTTGTAAGAGCTGCCAAAAATTAGCAGAACAATAAAAAGAAATACCCATATCAAGCAATATATAGTATGTGTAAGAAAAGTTTCAGCTGAATCGAATGAACCAGGTCCGAGAAGCAATTTTGTTTTATCATGAGAAACTTTCTCTATTTCCGTCACGTAAATTTGTTTTTTTTTACGTTTGAAAAAATATTTTGGATCTTAAACTGAACTCTATAGATATATAGTACTTCAAACTATACAATGGCTATAGAAAAAAATAAAAAATTTAGGTCCTGAAAGCGGATGGGAAACCTAAAAGCTGTGTTTCTTTCTATCTTTTAGTTATCAACATCAAATGAAATTCGAGAACTTTTTCATCAAATTGTTTTAACTACATATGAACGAGCATTATATTTAAAATGTCTTAATAATGAATTAACAATACCAGCTTCACTTATCACTATTCTTAAAGATAAAGGATTAATTACTGAAAGTATTTAATTTAAACATTAAAAAAAACTGAAATTTTAACTTTTATAATTGTTTTTGCGGATATTTCAGAAGCGTTAGTTAATGATCTTCTTCATGTAACTGGAACAGAGGAAGCAAATTTATCTCGTCGTCCATCACGAATGAGTGCTGGTGTTGGTAGTAGTAATGCTGAAGAAGTTAAATCAGTTAAATTTGCATCATCATCATCACCAACAACATCATCTTCACGAAATAAAACAGAGTCAGCTACATTAGTTGGTCTTACTGGTGGACATCCAGAAGATTTAGATACAATTTCAATAATACGATCCCTTCTTCAGTATGTTATTTAAGAATAATAGATTTAAATATCAACAAAAACAAAAAACTTTCTGTTTTTAATTAGTCAAGAAGAACTACCAGATTCTGATGAAATTGTTGAGCCAGGTGTACCTGCTGCTATAGGTTTGTATTTAAACTAATCGAATAATGGAAAATAATATCTAAACTGACTTGAAGTGGTTCATATTCTAAAATACCATTTTTTAAATGAATTATAATATAGTTTCAATGTAAAATCATTCGAGATGTAAGTACATACTGATCAGAGCTGTCAGTCAACAGGCCACTTTTTTCAACTGATCTGGGGGATAAAATCATATTGACTAATGGTCCGCTTTTTTTTTAAAATCCACTGGGTTCTATAATCTTATTATAATGTATCACTCTAGTAGTTTTAGTTATACACTTACTTTATTTAACACGAAGACAGTATTATGAATTAAAACAAAGAGATAAATTTTCAAAAATATTTCTTATACAAGGAAACACTAGATTTATCGAAATGTTTTTGAATATATCAGCACTATTTCACACCACTAGGAAAATATAATTATAATAGAGAAACAATATATGATCAAATATAGAACGAAGATGTCAAAGGGTATGTATGTGATTGTAGGTGGGAGTATGGATGGCTGGATGTGAAGACATGATCCACAGCCATACTTCCACAAAAACATCAACTTTTGGCGCCATCTTATGTTTCAAATTATAGTAGGAAAAACAATTTGATATTATTATACACACGCCAACAATTTTGGCTTGGTCTGATGACTTGCAAAGCAACAGATCAGGCTGATAAATTTGGTACTTCTCACGGACTATATTGAGTGTACCAAAAGTTTCGCAACATTCTTTCTTTAGAAAATATCCGAGTTGAGAAATAATAAATCATCTAAAGTTTTCTATCGGAAGATGCATCATTCGAATCTCTATAAACTCATATGTACTTTTTGTGTAAAACAACAGAATATAAACTGGTTATAAGACGCATTCGTTGATTCATTAAATGAAACTTGCTTCATGCTCAGTTTTTAGTGATGTATTCTTTTTATAGAAGCGAAGATTTATTTTTCAACCAAAAAACAATTTTACGTTAAACAGTGTTTGAAAGGCTCTGTTGATTGTGTATATTTACAAAGTATTTTTATATTGCACATTCTCAAGATTAGATAGCATGTTATATTTTGACAGTAGCGAAGTTTCCTTCATTGATTATTTTTTTTTCTAACAGACATCCTAGAAATGTAATTGATAGATGACTCGAGTTCACTTTTGTAGAGCGTTGTGAAAAATTGTTTTTTTTACCTTTGTTTGACGTTGAAATATCACTTAGCAAAATAATTAGGCGAAAAGAAGGATTTGAATTCTATATAGAAAGTCGTTTTGGGGTAGAATACTAGAGAAATTATCTTCTTCACACAGATGATTTATTATTTCTCAGGGCAGATATTAGCTAAAGAACGAATATTTCAAAACTTTTAGTACACCTATTTAGTATTATACACTAAAGTTTACTGACACTAATTTTCATCGATTATAATTTATAAACTTCTAACTTATAGATAGAGAAGCACTCAAAATTGATCATACTCTAGAGTAACGGTCTTGCTTTTCTAATATTTCAAGATGGTTTCAACATATATAGTTGTAATTTTTCGCGCAATGCAGTTCCATTTTCATGATTTGTCTATTTAGAATAACAGCCCTCTGTGTCATATATTTGCTATACTAAGACTAGAAATACTCAGGATGATGTCCTTTGATATTGTTACTTCACACAAAAATGGATGGATATTTTCCTTCACATTTCATTCTTTTCAACGAAAAGATTCATGTTAAAAATATTTTAATAAAAATTCAATTTCATTTCAGTGAAAATGTTTTCAGTACTCATTTTCTCGTTCTACAAGATGAAATACGAAATTTTTAATCCTACAGTATGTAATATTAGACAAACAAGAGAATTGGCTAGGTTTATGATTAATATTGAGCACCATTGTAATTCAGATTTTCGCTTTCTGTTTAAAGCATAGAAAGGGAAGTTGGAATTTCAGCTCGATTCAAAATTCCTCTCGTTAATTTTTATATAAAGTCTGATTGCTATGAATACTTGGTATACTCCATAGTGCTGAGCAGTATTCATTTTCATCAAAAAGTACTTAACAGTACGATGCATTTAAATCAATCTGCAATTTTAGGGTTCCGTTCAGCAAGATGACGTCGCAAAATTGGTAACACTTATAAAGAAACATTAATTACTTAAAAGTGGAACAGAGAAACACCATTTTATAGTCCTATTGAGTAATCCGATTTTTACTTTGGTACTTATTACATACAAGTGATAATTATCTAAAAGACCACACAGATTCTAACAGGACCAAAGCAGACTGCTCAGCATTATATCGTCCTAGTGGGCAATATGCCATCTTGATAAGTAGTATGTTTTATTGAAAATGCATCCCATTAAGCACAACAGAGTGTACTAAAATATTATAGAATTTATGGATTTTATGGAAGTTCATGAGAGGAATTTAAGTTCGAGTCAGAAGCAATGTATGAATTTTGACCTGAGCTGACAAGTCACTAGAACTTTGTATCAGGACGAAATTCATGTAATCTCGTAGAAAAACTAATGTAACTCGCTTACGTTGATAATTCAAACTAATAATATAAAAAAGTAACATATTTAATATCTGTGCGCTAGTAATTATTTCAATATACTTCAGTATCGATAATATTAGTGTCAGTAGTTCTCTATTCACACCGAACTTGGTAATAACACTTAGATTCTTCTTCTCGATTTCTTGAATATGTACAAATACGTATTGCTTTTTAAGAAGTGACTACACGCCCAATTGTTTCTGACTCTCCAATACCATCATCACATGGGAAAAAATCGAAACAACATGATAAAAATCCAAGTTCATCAAATCAAGAGTAAAAATCTATTATTATTTTTATTTTTGATTATACACAAGAATAAACTTGTAAAGAACTTCTATAAATAGATCATCCATTGATGAAACAAGACCATCTACTCGACGTGATCGGCCAACTCGTGCTAGAACACGTGATGAAATCTATAATCTCTATTGCACATTTGGTGAAAAACAGCATTCTGGTCAAGATTTTTTATGTAAAATATTAAACATTCTACGAGAATCAACTGAAGGTTTACTTACACATTCTGAAGTAAATTTCATAAAATTATCTAAGTTATAATTTAACTCTTCTCTCTCAATCAGATATTTTATCGAGATAAAGGTTCTCGCCCTGTAACACGTCCTCAAGCATTAGGTGAAAAATTTGATGAATTTGCACATGTAATGGTAGACAAATTAAAAAATTACGAAGCACAATGTCGTTCTTATCATGAAAATTCAATAAATGGTACCAACAAACTTTTCTCATACAAATAATAGTTTTTTTTTTCTAGAATTTCGTAATGTCCTTGAATTATTTGAGCGTACATCATGTTTAATGACTAAAATTGAATTTAATGAACAATTATTTCAAGCTGAAAAAAATCTTCTTGATTGTAAACAACAATTTGATACGATATTACATAAACAATTAAATGAATCCATTAATGAAAAACAAACAAATTTTCAACAACTTCGTCCAACATTTGGATATCCAGCAAAGAAAAATCATTTACAAACTATTGATAATCAAGAAAAATTACGTCAAGATAATATAGAAAAAATATGTATTGAACTTCGGTCGAATACAACTGTAAATAATTATTCACTAAAATTAAATTAACAAAAAAAAAAGAAAATCTTTTCTTGTTTTTCAGGAAAATATTCAAACAACTACACAAGAAATAAATAATTCATTAGCAACAAATGCTGAACATTTATTAATTCTATTTGATGAAATATTAACAGCTGATGAAATAACACGAACAAGTATAACGAGAGAACATTTGCATATGTCAAATCGCTGTTTCACAGTTGGTACTATGTACAGTAGTGGACAAAAGATTTCCACCCCTTTCTTGTATCTCAACTACTAAACATACTATAGATCGAAAAACGTTCCATCTATCTACCGTATTAATATCATCGAAGTTTATCGACTCTTCTTAGAATTGTAGCCATTTCTTCATGATCATTCAATAGGGGGAAAAACCATCTACTGGCCTTTGAAGACTGTAAATTAGGAATAGTTTAGTGAATCGAACTGAAATGTGTACATAAGCTTCGTGTTTAGTTGAGCATTATTACCTACAAATTTCATGAAAATGAGAATCCGATCCTAATAATCATCAAGTTAGTATAGAAGGCTCAGAGGCATGCAGAGATAGCAATCTTCGATAAGATTACCTGATCTTTCCATTCAGAAAAGAGTACCTAGTTGTATGCTAATGTATGAAGAATTTGTCATGTGCTTTCAGACTAAAAACTTGAAATAACGATAGGCGCCCTTTATCATACAGGGTGTGGGAAACTTTTGTTCACTATTGTTAGTTATAAGATGACCGGAAGATTCGTTGCAGAACTATTCACTGCGGGTGTGTAGGTGCGGGTATTGGTATGAGTAAGAGTCTTTTGTGTACTTTCATTGATACACTCACATATTTCCAATATTCATTCAGAATATTTTAAGGCTCACATGTCATGCGAAGCATTGTCCTAGCATTAGTTCTAAAGACTTATGAATACCCTGAGAACAATTCGGGCTCTTAATTGATCGTTGTTAAGACACTACACTTTTACGATATCTTTTTTTTCAGTATGCTGTGCTTCTTCTCAGGAACATCTGGACGACTGTGTCTTAATTTTCAACTTTAAATTTTTCATAGATGCAACTCTTCATGGAAATGAGTTTTTTTTGTGAAATTGTTAGATTGTTTGATGGCTCCTTCACATCGTTCATATACAGCGGTAGATTCCGATGTTCTTATTTCAGAATAGGAGTCATCAAATGATCTGAAAATTTCACAATTGTTTTCGTTAAGAACTGTCTTTGTGCATGGTTTCAAGTTGAAATTCGAAACTTAGTTCTCCAGATATTCGTGAAAGGAAGTGCGACATAACGTAAAAAGTTATCATTAAAATGCATTAACTCAATAGCAATAAATTAAGTATCCGATTTCTTCACAAAATATTCATTATTGACATAATGTCGACTCAAAAGCCATTTGACACTTAGAAACATTCCGTCGTAATAATCAATCATTTGTCGAAGATTTAAAACTTTTTTAGAATTACCGATAGTCAAACAATCGCTTACGGAATTATTAAGACGTCAGCAAACGGGAAGACCTTTAGAAGATTCTGAACCAACTCCATTAATTGAACGTAAACAAGGTCATTGGCCAGGTATATTAAAATACTTTTTTTCTCTCTTAAATATGAATATTTAATTATAAATATAAATTTCTTAAGGTTTACCATTACTTGATAATCAATTAAATCAACGACGTGACTCTATAAAATCCCGAAAACGTTCATCAATAGCTACTCAACGACAAACAGCATCAGCTTCGATTGTTACGCAAAAGACGACATTACCACAAATAGAAACAATAGCACAACGAGATCAAGCTTGTCAAGTTAGCATTTTATTCTTGTTTTTCAATTATTAATATGCTGCTCATTTTTTAATTATTTATTGTAGAAATATAAAGAATTATTAATTCAAATATTAACTGATATTGAAGAAAAATGTTCAGCAATATTAGTCGAACTTGATCGTGATCGATCATATTGGAAAACATCAATTGAAAAATTACAACAATTAAGAACAAATTAAAAAGAAATATTTTCTTAAATTTTTTTTTTAAAATAACTACAAAGCTCAAAAAACAAAATTATTAATTTTTTATTCGTTTTCTGTTTGAATAGAATTGACATACCAACAGTGATACCAATTAAATATTTATTTTTCGTATATATTTATGTATTGAAACTCATTAGACATGAATAAAAAATTAAAAAAAATTATAATATAAAATTTTTTATCTTATCTAATCTAATCTGTTCATATGTTCGCATGTGATTAAAACTCTTTATAAAAGCATTTATTGTCTTCAACGATCATCGAACCATTATATCTTAAGTTTAGAACGAGAGAATAATCTATACGTTTATAGAAAGCTTTCAATTAAAGATTTTATACATCAATATAGTATGAATTGCATTGATAGTGGATAGAAAGCGACATGATCGATCCATCGACAGTTTTATGTGTACAATTATAAAATTGCTCATTAGTTATAATGATCATTGCTAAGCAATTTGTTGATGCAACAGCAAGTGTTGTTGGTAGTTTTTGTTTTCTACTTAACGAGCCATTTTTTTTATAGTTTGCAAGAAAAAAGAAATGAGTGTTAAACGTCATTGAAACGTTGCGATAATTTGTTTTTTCTGTTTTGAATATTCATGTTAAAACAGGTTTTTCTTGCGTTTTGGGTTATTGATTATTTAATAATTCACAAATTGGTCTATTATTGAAACATATGCTATATTATTTTTGTCGTTTAACTGAAATAAAATGAATTTCATATAATTTCTAATTATTACAAATGACCGAGTGTTTTTCTTTTGTAACTATAGATAGAGAACAATATGAACTTCTATTCTTATTTGAAGTTATAGCTATTTTCCAACGACATTTTATGTTCGTTCATATAAATATATGAAATAATGTACATTATATAGACCTAAATGAGCTATGAATATCTTGAAATGAGTTCGTTCTCTCAGCTTATTGCTGCGAAGATACTGCACATTTACGGTATTCTTCTTTTTATAAATGCCCGTAGTAAAAGAAAAACTGATTTTTGAAATTTCGATTTGAGACTTTGCACAGAGACAGACCTTAACGAAAATAGTTTTTCTGTGAATGTTTCAGGTCTTGCCGCTGTTCATATCCTAAGATACAGCTATAATAATTACGTATCTATTATATGACTTACATAAATCAGTAGATTTTATGTTCTTATTTCAGGATAGAAGCAGATTGAAAGACCAAAAACATTCACAATAAACTAATCTTATTAATGCTTGCTTTTATGCAAAGTTTTAAGTTAAAATTTTTAAAAAATCAGTTTTTCGTGTGTTCTTTCACATCGGTAGTTACTTGAAAATTATGATGTTATGTTAATTTGTATTGTTTATAGAGCAAAGAAAGTGTATAATAATATTTTCATGTGATCTATAAGCAGTTAAATGTTTCGTATTTGAGAGCGCCACGAATCAAACATTTCTAGTATATCGATGATAACTGTTATAACTCCTGCCTCCAGAATCGAAGGTCATCAACAAGAAAAATTTCACAAAGCATCATATCAGATAATAAGCTCCCCAAAAATCTTTTTTAAAGGAAATTCAACGGATTGCTTTTTTCAGCTTCAGCACGAAAAACTTGGGTTTTGAGCATAAGCTATTTATTAGAATAAAAATGACCACCTATTAACGTAGAAGTCCTAATTTTGTGGTACTTAGTTTTTATATTGGCAGAGTGACGGAAGGAAAGATTATGATTTCTAAGTACATACTTGAAAATATCGACAAAAAAAAATTCGATTAAATTCTGTTTTCGAAGTCATCAAAGATTGATACTTAGTGATACTCGACTAATTGATTGCTATAATATACTAATTTCTAATGTTGTTTTTCATTTTAACAAATTGGAGATCCGTGAGATTGAGTAGATACTATATAATATTATTTTAAACTAGATTATGATCGTATTGTGAATCCATGTGACTAGAAATTGAACAAAATTAAATCTAGATATCAACATCTCATATTAAAAATTATTATTTTATTATGATGAATATCTTTTTTATTACATAACTGTTTTACATAGATCTTAAGATAAATACATAGAAAGGGATTCTCTTGTTATTATTTGAGATTTATTTAGAATTATAATCGTAGGTAAAATGATATTTCACATTCATAGAATTAGTCAATGGACACTATTCGAAATTTCTTTTCATTATTAAAAGTGACTAACAGTCAAAATAAATAAACGTTAATAAGTTTTAATTGATATATTTCCTTTTAGAACAATTTCTAAAAATGTCAAACACAACAGACTGAAGAAATGTTAAAGTCAATTCATAAATGCAGCACAATAGATTAGCTTAGAATTATATTTAACATTCGTCTGTGTAGAATTGTGTAAAACAAGTGAAAATTGAAAATTATGATAAAAGAAATGAATTTTAATATTAAAGTAAAACTTAGCATTTAAAATTCTGTGCAATGGAGGCATCAATACAGACAGAAGATGTTTTCACTTCCGTAAAAAAATGCTACCTGTTTCTTCGAGCAAAAACTGAGTTGTTAATTTTTGTTTTGTTTAGACTTGTTTACATCCATATATTGCTAATCTGCATGACATCACTCGATACGTATAACCTCTAAATTTTTTCTGGTCATGCTTTGATTTGGTCGCAAGAGCAACTTTTTAGTAGATTCCTCCTGCAAGATTCCAGTTTTCGAAATATAATATTTAAGAATTTCGACCTGAAACTTTGTATAGATGAAAGTCTTGATTAGACTATCTCATGTACAAAGTTATGTTAGCTGCAGATATTATATTACTAAGATATAGATATATTGAGAAATTTATATCGTAGCAATACATTATCTAAAATTGATAAACCTTTATACATGAAATAGACTAATCAAGATCTTTATGTGTACAAAGTTTCATGTCAAAATTTCCAAATATATTTTTTTCAGAAAACTGAACTCCTACAGAAGAAATCTACTAAAAATTCGCTATCTCGATCAATTCTAAGCATGAGCAGAAAACCATTAAAGGTTACGCTACTCTAGTGATCTCCTACATATTGGCCAAATGTATGAGAGCCAACGGAGCGGATCATTTGAAAATGTTCTCTCGTCAATAAATTACTCAGGACTTATTTATAATCTTTCGAAAAATTTGATTTCAGTGACTTAACCCGATTATAATGTTAAAAATAAAAAAAATTTATATGAGACAAGATAAGATTTTACTATCTGTCCATCAATGATAAGATCCCACCGTTGGTTAATAATATTTTAATTTTTCTTATTTAGTTTTTAAATACAACAACCTTATCGAATTATTCGTGTTTGCAACGTTTTTTTCTTAATTATAAAGTTTTCAAAAGTTCGTCTATTTATATATCAAATTTCTTTTAGAATTTCATATCATATTAATTATTTCATATAAAAAATTACTTGAAAGAAATATAGAAGAAAAGAAAAAGAAAGTTAGTCGATCAAATACATATGATATTAAACAGTTGGTGGCTTGAATATGTTTTCAAACGAATCATCTCCACAACAGTTTGAATTTTGTATAAGTCTTTGGTAAAACACATTCCTCAAAACAAATAATAAATAAATATTTCTAATTCTTTAAATAATTTATATTTAAAAAAAATAAAGTCATATACCTAGTAAATATTTTTTTTTTTGCAATCGATCATCAAAACATATTAAAGAAGTTACGTATCATCGTAGTTCAAAAGACGACGAAACGATTGTCGAAAACCATGCTGATTATAAGGTTTAATTTTTAAAGATTAATTTTTTTTTTGTAACAGATCGTATTGTTCGATTTTTGTCGAAGATCATGTATAATATAATGGGTATTATAACAAACTACAACAGACTTAATATGTCAAAATTATTGTAATTGCAACAGATGATTGTATTTGTAGAGAATAAAAATCGATTCATACGCTAATATATTATGAATAATCGTGATATTTTACTTAACATTTGACTTAATTCATATATACTTCAATTATACTATAAGGAGAAAATAGTAACAGTTCTTTATGGTCTTAGTTTGAATTAGTGACCAACATGTTGCATCAAAGCAACAATTTGCTTTATTTTTTAGCATTATAATAAAAAAGATAATCATACCACGCTGGTGATTGTATATATATCATCATTTATTTAAAAGATAACATGGCTGCAATAATAAATAACCTTTGTATTACGAAAGGTAAATATTAGTAATAAGAAAAAGAAAGAATGAATTGATATATCTTTCTTTCTTTTAACAACAAACATCGACGAAAAAACTACTCTTATTTTGCATATGAAACTTATCAATAGATTTAGTATACTGTGTACACATATATTTAATCATAGCAAAATGATAAATATAAAACGATGATAATTTTTCACCTGTCGCTTTCATATTATAATGATAGGAGAGAGAAAAAAAATATTGATACGAAAGTTATATCGTTTATCATTTATGCTTTATCGGACAAAATCACATTATCATTGTATTTGATTTTTGTTCATATTAACTGCACAGAGTTAATAACACAATAGAATACGAGCAAAGTAATCACAATAAAATAGATGATCTTTTCTTTCTTTTTTTAAATTCAATGGAATAGCAATCAAAATAACATCAGATAAAGTTATTAGAGTTTATCAAGATATAGTTTTTCATATATGTCGACTTAAAAATTACACAAGATTATTCTTATATTCAAGTGTTATTTAAAACAATTCAATAGATTTAATTTATTCGTTTTCTTTATTAAAATTGTTTACAGCATGCCGACATACAATTATTTCTATCAATTAATATTGTCTGTCTACAAATTGAAATTTTAATTGTACGTGTTTTTATTAATATTATTTTCAGAATTAGTTTTTACTGTGCATAAAATGATAAATAAATTATGTTTAAGTTTATTATGTATTGACGATTTATAAAGTTTTATTAATAATAAGCTAAAAAAAAAAATAGATACGCAGTTTATCTGTAGTAACTTT